TATATATATATATATATATATATATATATAACGCATATTGCAGATAGTGCCTGGAATGTATGATATTCTCTTGAAGGCATCACCGAGGATGATATATGTCACATGGAGAGAAAAATATTCAAACAAGCATAATAAAATACTAGCACGAATCACATTCATCAGTTTTTTTTATAGGATATTGCCTTGGACCAAATCATTTTATCAGGACAATTACATGATATAATGTGGACATATATAACTCAAATCTTGAAACCAGATGCTTATATTAATCTGCTTAATTTGACTCACGAATTACTTCTTGCCATAATTTGTGGTGATAAAGTAAAACCATGATTCATGAAAAAAACTCCCAACTCCTTCTTGATTTTCCTCTTCTTAATGAAAAGGATCCTGAAAATGGCATCAAGAGATGGTATGATATGTATGAGACTATTGAAGAGCTAAAGAAGCAATTGGAATTAGCAGGACCTCTGGTTGTTGTAGGTTTTATGCAGTACTTTTTGTTGTTGATATCTGTCATGTTCGTTGGTCATCTCGGAGAGCTTTCTCTTTCCAGTGCAACTTTAGCTACTTCTTTTGCTGGAGTAACTGGTTTCCGATTCATGGTATGCATACGATTTAGTCAGATCATGGCATTGGATCCCTTTTAGTAATCTGTTTTTGGTATGTAATATGTTACAGCATATTGATTGTTTGAATTTATTCTGAATATATAGCTTGGAATGGCAAGTGCATTGGAAACATTATGCGGACAAGCATATGGGGCAAAGCAGTATCATATGCTTGGGATACATATGCAAAGGGGTATGCTTGTAGTGGTGGCAATTTCCATCCCCATATCGATTGTTTGGGCATTTGCAGGGCATATATTTGCTTTTTGTGGACAAGACGTTGAACTTTCAATCCACGCTGGAGTGTATGCTCGTTGGTTGATTCCCAGCATTTTGCCTTATGGACTCCTCCAATGCCAATTAAGGTTCCTGCAAACACAAAGTAGACTCAAACCACTGCTGATCAGTACTGGCTTCACAAGTTTACTTCATGTCTTCTTGTGTTGGGCATTGGTTTCAAGGTTGGGATTGGGAAACAAAGGGGCTGCACTCTGTAATGCCATATCTTATTGGATCAACGCGCTGATTTTGGCACTTTATATAAGGTATGCATCGTCATGTGAGAAAACATGGACAGGGTTCTCCAAAGAGGGTGCAAGAAACTTTCCCAGTTTTTTATCATTAGCTATCCCTTCAGCTTGTATGATCTGGTTAGTTTCAGCATCCTTGACTATACATCCAAGTGTTTTCTTTTCTAAATGTCCCATTAGTACAAATTTCTCCGACTTGTTTCTGTCTTTTCAATTGTGTACCTTTTTGGACCGGTACCAAAAGCTTGGAGCAATGGTCCTATGAGTTTCTGGTGCTTATGTCGGGGTTGCTTCTTAATCCAAAGCTTGAGACATCTATGATGGCCATCAGGTTAGTAGAGCTGAATGTCAAGAGAGACAAATATCACATCGATATAGTCATATTAGGCTTAATTGATTCATTACATCACCAATATTAGTTCTTTTCTTCTTTCATTTCCCAGCATGAGTACTAGTTCTCTGGTCTTCAGGATTCCCTCGGGATTTAGTAGTGCAGTGAGGTAAGTTGCCAGAAAAGCTTCACTTTCTTTTTCTAGGTATATTATAAACGAAAAGGAGAAGATTGTGCAATCGAGTTACGAATTCTGTATGTTCTTTCTCTTGGATCCAAGTACGAGGATATCTAATGAACTGGGAGCAGGGAGACCTAAAGCAGCCAAGTTAGCAGCACGGGTCGTTCTGCTTATTGCTCTGGTAGAGGGCTTTCTACTGAGTGGAATCGCAATTGCAGCAAGAAATGTGTGGGGATATATATACACTAACGAAGAGGAAGTGGTGAAATATCTGGCTGCAGTCATGCCAGTACTTGCATTGTCCAATTTCATGGATGGAATCCAAGGGGTTCTTTCAGGTTTGAACTCCAAACTATCTAATAAAATTTGAAGCCATATGTATTGATCATTAAGTGTTCCATCAGTTCAGCAAAATACATAGTTGCTTGAATACGAAATTAACTCTATTGAGGACAACATTATTAAAGGTACTGCAAGAGGATGTGGTTGGCAGAAACTTGGTGCGCTAGTCAATTTGGTAGCCTACTATGTTGTTGGACTTCCTTGTGCTGTGATTTTAACTTTCGTCTTCCACTTCGGAGCAAAGGTAACAAGTTCTTCACTCTCAAATACCACATCCGTGGTAAAAACTTACTACTATCTGATATTTACACCAAACCAATGAATACTTTAACATGTATAATTGGAACATACACAACTAACACTTAGCTATGGATAATGAATGTATATTTTCACTTCATTAAATCACTTAATTATGGTACTCTGCATTGAATTGGTGTAAACACCTGATGCAGATTAGCATTTACTCGCACCAGTTATAGAAATTATAACTTCGACAAGATAATTACATAGTCTGAGAATATTTTTGAGGCTCATACTTCATAGTATTGTTTCGCAGGGTCTTTGGACAGGAATTATAAGTGGAAGTGGTCTTCAAGCATTACTTTATATACTTATTACCTTGAGGATAAATTGGGAGCTTCAGGTAATTTCAAATTTTGACTTTAAATTGCCAAATATTTCTATCTGGATCTAACAACAAACCGTTTCGTGTTTATACTATGATAATCAGGCAATGAAGGCTATGTGTAGAGTACAAGTTTCTTAAAACCTGAGAAGCTATTCATGTCATGATTAGGTTGTTTCTAATCTCATTTTTGTTCAATCTTCAGTTTGTAAATTGTAATGCTAAAATAGAAACAAGTTTTGTCATTTGTATTTCTCTCTGTACTCTAAATTCACTTGTTTGCAAGATTCACCGAAGGTATAATATATACAAGGCATTCGTACTGGAAAAATATATACACACTCCGAAACTAACATGTTTTTTTGTTAAAGTACAACAAATCGTTAGCATAAATCAAATGCAATCTTGAGTTTGTTATTTGAGTTCAGGCAGAGTAGTCTGGTCTTGATCGCGTTCTCACTTGAAATTACAGGCTATGTTTCAGCATCCAGAAGACTAAGTCACAGATACAGAGTATAATGAATCATAATACAATATTAGCACGAATCACATTCATCATTTATTTATTGCTGTATATTTGAAGTCACTCTCTGGACCAATTCACCAAAAATATTTCATCAGAATCAACTAGATCGAGATATAACTCAATCTTGAACCCCTGATACTAACACGTATAGAAAAAAAATGAAATATATACTTGATTTTGAACGCAATTGCAAGATCACCGCATTGTGTTTGGTTCACTTCTTTGTTTATATTGTTATTTGTGATTCTTTCCAACAACATTGAGAAGGGATCATGGAATCGTGATATAGCTGAGGTTATTGAAGAGCTAAAAAAGCAACTAGAATTAGCAGAACCTCTGGTTCTTGTGAGGTTTCTTTATGGACTCCTCCAAATCCAATGCCGCTACTGTTCTGACTAGAAACTTATAATTTTGGATCAGGCAATGAAAGGCTATCTGCGTAAGGTACAGGTTTCTGAAACAGCATGCTATTGTGTTATGATTAAGTACATTTCATTTAGTTATTTTTTATTACAATATGTACCGACGGCTTGCATGCATCTAAACTATTTCATCGAGTATAACATACAAAATAGTCTCGTGTCTAGTACTATCTATAGCGATACATAATTATACTATGATAATGTATTAAAGGTGAATTATGTGAGCAATATAAATGTATTGTAAGTGTTCTAAAATGTGTTATGCTTGTTTGATAAAAAATTGACACAATGTATAAGTTTATTAAAGTGTGTTATAAATTATATGTGTGTTATAAATTGTTCTGCGTAATATGTATTATAAATAAGAGCGGATTTAGCAAGGCTCGTGGAGTATCATGACATTATTACTTGGTAGAAATTCTTTACTAAATATGTATATATATTGAAAAAAGAAAAAAACGAATATAAAAATGTGAAGTGACACTCCTTAGTCCTTACATCAAAGTTATGGTGTTACATTTTTTATCTAGTTTCTTGGAATCTGTGACGTTCACTATCAATTAATGGACCAGATTTCTTGATACACAATTGTAAATATAACAGAAAGTAAATGCAGTAAGATAACAAAGAAGTTTTACGTGGAAACCTCCTTGCTTAAGGGAGTAAAATCACAACATGTCTCACAGGATTTCCAAAAACAGTTTCACTAATCTTCACAAGCAAAAGGAAACCGATTACAAAAATGTGAGAATTTTTTTTTAATCTCACTATCAAGCAATAGCTCTATTGCTTGATGAGCCTAAGTAGATATTACTCTACCCACTAAGCTATCACTCTAGACAACTTAGGATTTTTCAAGTAATCTCATAGACTGACCACTAAATCACTACCCTAATAATGATTTAGAATTTCAGATCAAACCACACTGATTCCTTTATACATTTAGGATCTGTTTACAATGCAAGATCGAAAGAATACATTCTCAAACAACTACACAATGTGCGTCTGAGTTTCGATTGTTCTTGAATGATTCTTCTTCTTGATTTTCTTTAGCCTTTGCAAAAGATCTTGAATGTGTTTTTTCAAGTTGTAAAAACTGAAGAGCAATGTGAGAAAAGATGACATTGTATAGAAAGTCACTTTCCTAAAACCCATGCCATTGGTTGGAAAGATTTGACGTTTCTGACGCAGTTGGGAACTGTGCACCAACTTTCTGTACTTTCTCCGGCTGGCAGTCAACGAACGATTCATACTTCGAACCGAATACCTTCACAAGATTCCTGAGTTTATTACATCATCAAAACTACAGATAACAATACTATTTAAATTTCTTTTGCACATGACACTGATTATAAGTATTAGATGAAAAAAGATTGTATAAGAACAAATGATAAAAATAAATAAATTATATATAGCATAATGTCATAATCTATATAACTTTTTCTAAAAGTGCTAGACAATAAGTCAAAATAAGTAAGGCCCAAATGTAAGGGAATAAGGACCTCCTAAAATAAGAGATCTAACCATATCCAAACACAACATTAGATTCAACGTCAAAATAACACATAGTTTGGTATAAAATTTGATGGTGTTTTGGGGGCTCTAACACAACACCCTTTCTTTAGCGTAAAATTTAGTATAATATGTTGAAGTTGATTTACACTAAGTAGTACCCACAGTATTTTAATATTATAGGTTGAAGATGCTCTAAACCCCAATTCCTTTGTAAAAGAGTAATAGCTTTTCAATCATTTAAAAAAAGAAAAAAAAGCTCAAAAAAGACCACACATAACACAACGATGACCCATGACTGAAAAATGAAATATATTTAATGGATCAATCACCAAAAAACGTTTCATCACAACAAACTAGCTGGCCACTAATGAACAATATTTCTAAAATAAATACACTTAATTAGTTGCCACCACCGCCACATTGTGTTTGATTTCTTCTGTGTTTTAAATTGTTGAATGTTGTTCACATTTTAATAAAATAAACCACGATGAGTGAAAGAAACTCCGATTTTCCTCTTCTTTCCAACAACACCGAAAAGGGATCATGGAATCCTGAAGATCGCGATAGAGGATGTTGCGATATAGGTGAGGTTATTGAAGAGACAAAGAAGCAACTAGAGTTAGCAGGACCTTTGGTTCTTATAAGTTTTCTGCAGTACTTTCTACAGATGATATCGATCATGTTTGTTGGTCGCCTCGGAGAGCTTTCTCTTTCAAGTGCAACTTTAGCCACTTCTTTTACTGGAGTAACTGGTTTCAGCTTCATGGTAAGAAGCTAAATGCTAAAATTACATGTTTATATGAATTTAATTTGATAATGCAATCCTTTTTTTTTTTCGTATGGATAGCTGGGAATGGGAAGTGCATTGGAGACATTATGCGGACAAGCTTATGGGGCAAAACAGTATCATATGCTTGGAATACATATGCAAAGAGGAATGCTTGTATTGTTGGCTATTAGCATACCTATATCGATTATTTGGGCATTTGCAGGGCATATATTTGCTTTCTGTGGACAAGACATGGAAGTTTCAGTCCATGCCGGATTGTATGCTCGTTGGTTGATTCCCAGCATTTTTCCTTATGGAATCCTCCAATGCCAACTTAGATTCCTGCAAACACAAAGCAGACTTAAACCACTTGTGATCAGCACTTGTTTTACGAGTTTAATTCATGTGTTGCTCTGTTGGGCACTGGTTTTCAGATTGGGAATGGGAAATAAAGGAGCTGCGCTCTGTGATGCTATATCTTACTGGTTCAATGTGCTGATTTTGGCGCTTTATATAAGGTTTGCATCATCATGCAAGGAAACATGGACAGGGTTTTCCAAGGAGGGTGCAAGAAATCTTCTCAGTTTTCTATCGATAGCTATTCCGTCAGCACTTATGGTCTGGTTAGTTCCGTGTCAATATTCTTAAATCATTTTTTCAATTTGGATCCTTTTCTCTCTTTCACCGCTCAAATCTGATATGAACTTTTCGGAATTGGGAACAAGCTTAGCTTGGAGCAATGGGCATATGAGTTTCTGGTGTTCATGTCGGGGTGGCTTCCTAATCCAAAGCTCGAGACATCTATGATGGCGATCAGGTTAGTACACAATGTCAAGGGCTTTTTCATCGATAACAAAAATAGAGACCAACAAACGGGTTGGCGACTTTGAGTTGGAATTTTTGCATCAAGATTAATTTGATCAAATTCATCACAGATGGTAATTCTTTTTAATCTTTCCCCAGCCTAAGTATCAGTTCTCTGGTGTTCCGGATTCCCTACGGATTTGGTAGTGCAGTAAGGTAAGTTTTCCTTTTGCTAGCGTATATAATAAAAATTTTCATGTTGTTTAATTTGTTGTTTGGTTGGTGGAGAAGTACACGGGTATCAAATGAATTGGGGGCAGGGAAAACTAAAGCAGCCAAGTTAGCAGCACGTACAGTCTTACTTCTGGCTACGGTAGAGGGCCTATTACTAAGCGGAATAGCAGTTGCTGCAAGAAATGTATGGGGATATTTATACACTAACGAAGATGAAGTAGTAAAATATCTGTCCACGATTATGCCAGTGCTTGCATTGTCCAATTTCATGGATGGAATCCAAGGGGTTCTTTCAGGTTTGAACTCCAAACAATCTAATTGAAGCCATATACCTGTAAATATATATAAAAAAAATATATCACTTTTAGACTATTGATTCATATTTTTGATACAACATTACATTTACTCTAAGTTAATAGAATAATGTGAATATTAGCGTGATCTTCTTAATACATACAGCCGGCCCAGCTAATTAATACAAAAATGAAGTGCACTTGATGATAACTTCAAAATTCAGGTACTGCAAGAGGATGTGGTTGGCAGAAACTTGGTGCACAGGTCAATCTTGGAGCCTATTATCTTGTTGGACTTCCTTGTGCAGTCATTTTAACCTTTGTCTACCACCTTGGAGGAAAGGTAACAAATCTTTCACTTGCAAATGTTCGTGTTGATAGTGTAACAGTTTATTGGAGACTCTTATTTTGTTTCTTTTATGGCATTATGGTGGTAGCAGGGTCTTTGGACAGGGATTATAAGTGGTAGTGGTCTTCAAGCATTACTTCTTCTACTTATTACGTTGCGCACAAATTGGGAGCTTCAGGCAAGTTCTAAATTTAATCTAATTGTACTAAAACAAGAAACTCCATTGTTCTGACCAGCAACTCTATAAATTTTTATCAGGCAAGGAAGGCCATGTATGCGTAGGCTACAAGGTTTCGGGAATATGTATGGATTATTTGCATGCACCTTAATTATTTCATCGAACTACCTATTATCTCACCTACCATAAAAAAAAAAGACACCCGAGGAAAATTACAGTAGCAAGCAGTATGATGTCTCCCCAGTGATTATCCATAATGTTAATCAAAAACAGCGTTATTCACACCTCTGAATTTTGTAGCCACAATTATATATTTGTCTGATACCATGGTTGTTATATTTGATGGAGACTTTTTTTTGATGAATCGGTATTTTTAAATGCACTGTTGATTTTACACCAGCAGGTAATTTTAATAGGTGATAAATTAATAAAATGGAAAGTTATGCGGTTAAACAAACTTATACTATTTAATTACTTATTATAGTTATAGTTTGTTATAATCACTCACGATTAATATTATACATTAATTACGTAGATTAACTTCGAGTTTGTATAATTAGCCACATTTGTATATTGTATAATTCGTCTGAATATACAAATTCATATGTATAATACAATTATTTAATTGATATACATATACAATTCACCCCTCTCTCACTTTTTGCCCCCTCTCTCTCGCCTCTCTCCTCCCTCTCCCAAACTCGTTATATGTGTATATTATCAATTGTTTATCTTTATACATATCCTAATTTGATTTATTTTAAATTGAATAGTTCTTTTAATCTTAGTCGTCCATATGTTATATGTTAATCATAAGGGTATGTTTAGCCTGAAAGTATAATGGAAGTGATATATTTAGCCCAAAAATATAACTACGAATATATTTAAATTATTTCCCACAGTATATTTGACCCTTTGCTATGATAACAATTATCATTTCTTTTCATTACATTATATCCTTAACAAGTTATTTTGAGGGATATTCCTAACAAAAGAATATACTCTATAAATTTTTATCTACTTACTGAGAAAAAATTTCACATATTTTCAACTTAACAAGCTGCTTATTACTCTTATGTGTTCGACTAAAACTATAACAATTTTGAAAATCATAAATAAATGAAAGTTAGTAAAATAATAAATAAATAAAAATGATTTAACCAAATTTTTATGTATACCAAGTAAAAATAAAATAAATACACAATTTTGTACACTACAAAAATTAAGTATTACTCCCGTCTCATAATAATTAATTATCTTACTAAAATTATATGAACCAAAGAGAATATTTAAAAATTGTAAACATATTGTCTAAATTTTGACAATTATTATCGCATATTAGTTGTTCACGTTACTAAATCAAGAAAGCATTAATCAAAATCTTCATCTGTTATTCCGATAATCAATTCTTTTTGAAATTGTTCACATTTATTTATAAAATTCACAAGAAGCTTTTAAAGGGTTGATTAGTAAAATTATTTTCTTCTTTATGAATTCTTAATGTGCATGTAAAAAAGAAAATGAAAAATTATATAAATCGGAGAGAATGTTTAAAAATTATAAATATATTGTCTAAATTATTAACAATTTTAAATAATTTTCAAATACAAACACAAAAAAAGAAAATTTAACTAATAAATCTTAAATATTACTATTAGTATTTCACTTGAACTAAATGTCTAGAGAAAAAGTATATGGAAAATACAAAAAAAGAACAAAAAAGTCATGCCTCGAGTAGGGTTCAAATTGGTTTCACGGGGTGAATTAAACCCATTCACCACTGACCCACGCCATGCATTGTGTAAACAATGGGTTCATTTATTTATTTATATAAATAAACATCTTTACGGATAATTTATATATGTATATATGAAGTAGGTTCAATTGAACCTACTTAAATCTGCCCCTCAGTATCCCCTAATAACAAAAATAAATGGGAAAATGCACAAGTAACTCTTCAACATCTTTAACATATGTCCGAAATTTCTGAGACACACTTATACTATACTAAGATCCTATTATTCCTGAACTTAATTTATTATCATTGTGCCCACGAGATAATGTTATGTAGGCTAAAAAGGGGTAGAAAATTACTTATAAAATAAGTTCAGGAGTAATAGGACCTAGTATAGTATAAGTGTGTCCCTGAGATTTAGGGCATAGATTGAGGGGATATTGAGCATTATCCCAAAATAAAATGAAGTTCTCTTTTTTATATTTTCCATTTAGCTTTTGTGTCCTATTAAAATTTTAGATAAATTTAAATCACACACAGCAGACTTTTGACATAATATTTAAAACTCTAATTTAAAACTTCTAATGTATGGTGAAACAATTTTGTTACTGCATCACAATTTATATTGATGAAAATAAAAAAAAATAAGAATTTTAAAATTATAATTTAAATAAATTTATTTATAAAACCAAAAAAAGGCAAGTGTTCCCAAAATTCATGTACGAGCGTCTCCTAATTTGCCAACCTTACCATGTGCACCCATATGCCTTCCAATTCCTGTCATGAAATTAATTTTTCCAAAAAATAAAAATAAAAATAAAAATATTATTAACTTTTAATGATTAATTCAACTAACATCCATTATTTTGCTCCTTCCATTCTTCTTCTTCCTCCTCCCAATTATCATTATACATATATTCTCATTAACGTTCTGCAATTTCCTAGAAATCATGAATATATCGGAACAAAGTTTTTTCAATAAAATTACTGCTACGACAACAACGACGACTTGTTTGTTCTTTCTCTTAATTTCTTTTTCCACTACTACTATTATCTTCTCCTCCGGCGACAGGGAAGCCGCTTTTGTTATCCCCTTTTTTTTAGCCGCCGCCGTTGTGGTGGCCGGATTCGTTGTTCTGGCCGTCCGGACCACCGTTGTGACGTGGATTACGGTGGTAGTACTCCTAGCTTTCGTCGGGAAACGACGCCGTATATTTGCAAAGGATGGGAAGAAAATTACGTCGGAGGTGGTAGTGTATGTGGTGAATGAAGTGATTAGGGAGAAGGGAATTGTTGCTATTTCTGGAGTTATGATTTTGGGATTAATTTCAATGTCGTTGTTATGAGCGCATTAATTTACTAATAATTAACTTTCACTTAATTATTAACTAATTTGAATCTACTTTTGCCAGGAAGTACTGAGTACAGGATCTTTTAATTTATATTTTTTTTTGTTCTTTCACTATGTATTGTATGAAAAACAACTTGTTCTCTTCTAAGTTCTAACTTTGTAAATTTATTATTCGGATCTTGCTCTAAAATTTTGATAGAGCCAAGTTCACCCAAAGTATACATATATTTTTTTTATAAGATATTATAGTGTTCATATTAAATCTAAGTTCATTTTCATTCTTTTTTTAAAAATAAAAACCTGGAGTTTGTCTAGGATTCATTTTTAATTGGTTAATATGGCACTCAACATTCTTATATCACTGCACATGCAATCATTAATATCAATACTATATTCCCAGTAAAACTTGTACGAGATGTAACAGAAGTACAAATAAACTCCTTTTTCTATTTCAAATTACAATAAATATATTTGGCATGAAATAGCACAAGCAATATTTTGCAAAAATAAAAAAGATGATTAAGTAAATTTTTCTGTTTCTTATATCCAAAGTACCATCTAAAGTAAAATTAAACTACTTCATAGTTTTAAGAAGTTACACTGGCCAATACTCTTCAAATTATTAATTAATCTAAGATTTGAGAGAAATTAATGTAACGCTGTATGGCTGTATCCTGATTGTACAGTCGATTTGTAACAGGTAATGATGTTATGGTGCTGTCTAATTCCATTTCTGGCCAACTCAAGAACTCTCTCATTGGCTGCTATTGCGGTGCGGACAATATTAACCAATCATGTCGCAACTACTAGATATTGAAATCGAGTGATTAGGGTACGCATCGAAAAATCGAATCGAACTAATTTGGTTCTTCAATTTTGGTATTGATGTTATGTTTTTCAGAAGTTTAATTTTTTGATTCGGTATCAAGTAAGGACCTTAAAACTTTGGTGCATTAAAAAATTAAATATATATATATATATATATATAGTTAATTTTCAAGAGAAACTCAAACATATTTCTACCAATATACGTTATGTAAAGAAATTGTCTTCGTACTTATTTTTTTGAGATATAGTTGGAGATACAATGTTCTTGATAAAGATAAATATAGTCTTTTTAGTTAGCACAGTAAGTGTTTCACGATGATACACATCATTTCTTAACATAGTTTTAAATTTTTAAGTATCTTATACTTTATTTTTATTTTATTTTTCATTCATATTGAAAAATCGATTTAAAAACACCGAACGAAATTGAATCAAAATAGAAAAAATCAAATTGAACTGGTTTGATTTAATATACTATGCATATTTTTTTAAAATCAAAAATCAAAGAATCAAATTAAAATTTGATAAAACAAAACTGAAAAATTGAATGCTCACCAATCTTTTTACCATTAAATAGGTAACAATTAAATATATTTTTCATGGATAAAAGGAAGAAAAAGAACATTTTAAGGGTGTGTTGAATAGGGAAGAGAATATTTTTTATGTTTGATTTGTTAAATATTTCATTTTAGGAAAATCAATCTTCTTTAAATAAGGAAAATTAACTTTTGTAATAAAAAGAGTGAAAAAATATTTATTAATACGAGTAACATTTTACAGTATAATTATGTCTTTTCCATTTCCAATAAACCTCATCGTTACGCTCACTCATTCCGAATTTCACATGATATTAATAGGAATAATCTTTTTAATCAGAAATCAATTAAAATGATATTTTATTTATGTTATTTTAAATTTTAATATTTTTTAATTTTAAAAAATACTAATTTATTTTGAACTAAAAAATATTATAATTTTTTTAATTTTCTAGTCAAATTTTGGCTAAATTTCCTGGTCATTTAACACCTCTCTATTAATTATATGTGAACATTTTGAGAATAATAGTTTTTGCACACTTATCAAAGATAAAAATTTATTTTATTTATTTTCTTCGTTCTTATTTATATGTCGTCTTTATTGAAATTATATGGTCTTTAATTCTTCTCCATCTAACAATAGTTGTTTATTATACTATTTTAAGATATCCAACAACACTAATTCACTTTATAAAATTAATGGAAATTTCAAACTGAGTTTCGAATTTACTCTTATGATTAATTATAGTAATTTCTCTATTATATTCAAATGGTGATATAGTAAAATTATTTTTATCTTTATAGTTTCTTAAAAATTATGTAAAGTTAATAGTGGACATCTATTGTTGGACAGAAAAAGTATTTGTCACTTCATAAAATCAATGAGTAAATGATTATGTTGGGTATGTAGCAAGAATTGATAGGAAATAGAGGGAAGGAATTTGAAAAGTTTAGAACTTGAAAGGTTGAAAACTTGAAAAGTCCTCTAATGATTTATTGAAAAAGGCAATAGTCCATCATCGGTAATGGAAATGAAAATAGGAGAGTTTAAATAAATAAGCACCTATTAATTGTTAAAAGGGTTGGAAAGAGGGACCCCCCTCGCGCCGTCGTCGTCGCTCGCTTCGGCTTCGGCTTTGGCTTTGGCTTTGGCAAATGATCGATCGAGAGATAATTTATTTTAATTATTTATTAATTAATTTAAATGGCCAAAAATTATTTTCAATAAATTAGTTGATAACAGAATTTAACCGAAATGTTTTCAACTTTTTAGTTAACCCGACCCGACTCGGATCCGAATTCCGTTATATTCAAAATTTCCCGCCATGACTGTTCTGAAAGGTTGCAACTTTCAGGAACAGTCAATACCATTTGAAAGTTCGCAACCTTTCATTAATGGTCGTGTCAATTCTGAAAGGGTAGCAACCTTTCAGAATATATTATTCTTGCCTATAAATACCATTCAGTATTCAGAATATTTCCTAACGAATTTTCTGATCTTCCTTCTTCTTAAAAAAAAACATATATTTCTTCGTGTACTTTCCTGCTGTAGATTGATTCGCTGACAGTAGAGTTTTTGGTATCTATACTCTACTGATTAAGATCATTTTACCCTGGGAGGTTATATTCCAAATCAAACCTCGGATACTAGAGGGGAATAATTTCCTTAAGGGGACACTGTGAATTCAGTGGACTTGATTTTCTTCCTAAAAAGAGAAATAAAAGAGTATTCAACATTCTGGTAAGTTTTACAGATTAAATTATTTCTTACAAATAAATTTCTGTTCATTTTATTTACTGGTTCTAAAAATCTCAGTTACTTCATGTTTCTGAATGATTAATTACAACCAGTAATTTCTGATTTTCTTAACATAGTTTGACAATAATCTTAAGGAAATTAATTAAATCTGTGTTTCTGGTGGAGATAAAAATCTTTGTGATTTTATACTCCTTTAAGTCTGCAATTATAATTTATTGCTTACTTATATTGTATCAATTTTGTTTATCAAAAATGGAAAACACTGGTGTTACAGTGGCTGTTGCTGCACCAACCCGAACTCTTGTATCACAAGCAGAGAAACCGGGTAAATTCACAGGTGTGAATTTCAAAGGATGGCAGCAATGAGTATTTTTCTGACTCACCACTCTTGGTCTGCAGAAATTTACAAGTGAAGATACTCCTGTACCTGCTGATGATATGCCAGACAGGGAAAAATTTATGATTGTTAAAGCATGGAAACAGTCAGACTTCCTATATAAAGGTTACATTTTGAGTGCTTTAGAGGATGACTTATATAATGTCTATAGTGCAATAACAACTTCAAAAGAGTTGTGGAATGCACTTGAGAAGAAATATAAGACAGAAGATGCATGCTTGAAAAAATTTGTGGTCACAAAGTTTTCAGACTATAAAATGGTAGATAGTAAAACTGTTGGATCACAAGTGCAGGAACTTCAACTTATTCTTCATGATCTGATTGCTGAAGATATGGTAGTAAATGAAGCTTTTCAAGTGGCTTCAATGATCGAGAAGTTGCCTCCTTCGTGGAATGATTTCAAGAATCTAAAGCACAAGCGTAAAGAAATGAAGCTTGAAGATCTTGTGATTCGTCTCAAGATTGTGAAAGATAACAAAAATGCCGAAAAGAAGTCGTGTAAGAATTCAACAATCATTGGAGTTAATATTGTTGAAGAAGCTCCTACCAAAGAC